AACAAAAGAGAGAGAGAGAGAGAGAGAGAGAGAGAGAGAGAGAGAGAGAGAGAGAGAGAGAGCGCCTTAGGAGAGACATATAAGAAAAGAGCAGTTGTCCACCATCTCATCACCCCAGAGTAGAAATGCTACTAGTGTAGGAGACTGAGACTTGCTGAGCTATGAATGTCGTAGGAAAATCCCCAGACCACAAATAGCACGGTTGCTGTGATTAGAATAATGCATATTCTTCGGTCATATGAGTATCACATTTAATATAAAAAATAGAGATTACTTCTTCTTTGAAATATATAATAGCATATCACAATTTGAAGTTTTTCCAATTTCTAATCCCTTTTAATAGTTTTGTTCTATACTTCTTATAGCTCTTTTTTCTTCCTCTCTTCTCCCCCATCTCTTTCTCCTTCCTTCCTTCCTTCCTTCCTTTCTTCCTTCCTTCCTTCCTTCCTTTGTCTCTTGAGACCGGGTCTCACTATGTAGTCTTGGCTAGCCCGGAACTCAGTGTGTGATCATGCCGTCTCTTGAGACCGTGTCTCACTATGTAGTCTTGGCTAGCCCGGAACTCAGTGTGTGATCATGCTGGCCTTGAAATCATTGAGATCTTCCTGCCTCTGCCTCCCAGGATTCAAGGTGTGAACCAGAGTTCCCTAGCCTCTTACAGATCTTTATCACATGTAGTTTTTTTTTCAAACTCCATCCCAGAAAAAAAAAGAAAATTTAGTGTTAGATTAAAGCTAGTCAAAAGAAATCCATTCAAACTCCATCCCAGAAAAAAAAAAGAAAATTTAGTGTTAGATTAAAGCTAGTCAAAAGAAATCCAATTTGTTGATGGATTTAAACTTTTTAACTTTCAAATAAGAAAAATATTAATATCTAAGAAGACTAGGATTAGAATATCTATTAGTATAAAAATCCCAAACCTACTTATTTGTAGGAAAATACTTCAATTTTAAAAATTTCTTCAAAAGTTATTTTTAAAAAATTGACTTACATTACCCTCTGGCCTGCTTGCATAAAGGTCTTAGGTCAGTGGACAGCCAACCACCACTTGAGTTACACAAGTAAAAACAGGTTCCCTGCCCAGCAGCCACAGAAGGCAACTCAAAACAAATGCCTGTAACTCCAGTCGCGGGAGATTGAGCACCCTCTTCTGGTCTCTGTAGGCACTGCACTCATGCACATAGCCCCACACACAGACACAGACACACACAGTTTAAAAATAAAATAAATAAAATCAGAGAAATAGAAAAACAGACTGTTTGGCTGATGGCTGGGGCAATAAGCCATTGTGATGGGAATGTGATATTTGGTAGTTTTTCTTTCTCTCTGCCTGTACATCCCATTCTCATTTCTGGAGCCAGTTGAGAAGACTTCACATTTCCACTTCACAACGAAAAGAAGGTGTAAGTAGAAGGGTGTAGAGAGAACAAGGAGCAGGACCTCTGTTCCTGTCACCACAGCATCCTGCCTATGGCTTGGTTCATCCCATCAACACTTGGGCCCTTCCCTTTCAAAGCACTGCCGTCTGTGCACACCAGCCGACCCTCAAAGGAAGCTGCAATTACTTACTATTTGGCTCCACTTAGGGAGCTGCAGCAAATTAAAAGAACTGAAAAGCTCTTGCTAGAAACAGGAAAGGAGTTTCTTTCGGCACCTTAATTTTTCTTTTTTTTATTTTCTGCAAAGTAAACATTTTCTAAGTGAGTTAAATTGATTACTACACTCTTAGCACCCATCAGTCATTTATTTTTAGTGAACTCAAGGGTTGCACCTGAGCAGTAGCTGTGAGGGGTTGTGTAGAGACTTAAATCTCATATGTGTGTATGTTTTTTCTATTCCTCAGTGGAGACAACCAGCCCCAGTCTGCTAACCACTGACAACACCCTTGAGCGGTCCTTTTTCATCCGAATGAAATCCACTCTGACCAAACGTGGAGTACACATCAAGTCATCAGGATATAAGGTAAACTGGGCTTCGGGAGGGAACACATCCAATCCAATGCCATTTGCACTGAGTTTTCCAACTGCTTTGGGTCCATATAATTAACACAGGGGACCTTGAGTGTTGCACTGCGTAAGCTCCCTAGCCATTTTTCTGTCTCAACAGAGACATCTTTATGCCTCCTCCTTATCACTTCAGACATTGCTGATGCACCAAATGGCCCCAAGCTCATGTCTTTTCTTAAAGCCACTAGTTATTAATATGCCAAGTGCCTCGGCACCTTCTAGAGAGTCACACTGGTAGAAACTGTGAACACAATTCCTCTCTATCCTGAAGGTAAGTGTTCTAGAATGGCTACTATGAGAATCCCTTCTCTCATGTTCCCCTTAAAATATGCCCTTTCTCTGAAATGACTCTCACAGTCAATCACGTGATCACCTAGATTCATACATGTTGGTTTTAAAAAACCAAGTTGGGGGGGGTGGGGAGATGGTAAAGTGATTGCTTACAAGCATAAGGACCCTAAGTTTGAATCCCCAGCACCCATGTGAAAAGCCAGGCTGAGTGACACTGGGGAGATAAAGACAAGAGGATCCCTGGGGCTTGCTGGCCACCCCTGACTAGCACAATCAGGTGACTTGACAAGCTCCAGGTTCAGTGAGAAGCTATCTCAAAAAATAAGATGAAAAGCAATTGAGGAAGACACTGAACAACAACCTCAGGTCACACACACACACACACAGACACACACAGACACACACACACACACACACACACACACACACACACACACACACACACGCATGCTGTTGAATTCTAAGGTTGAATCTTAGAATCCTTCATTTTGAAATTACAATACCCGGACATTAGTCATACTTTAACGTCCACAGAATGCTCATATTCAAAACATATGTATGTATGTATGTATATATTCCTCACAAGAAAAGATCAAGTCTGGAGCCATAATCTACATTATCATCATTTTAAGGTTAGTATGTATGTATATATTCCTCACAACCAAAAGATCAAGTCTGGAGCCATAATCTACATTATCATCATTTTAAGGTTAAGGATATAAAAGCCTTCTAATCACAAGAAATCCCAACATTCTAGTTACTATAGAACATAAAATTCAGACCTAGGAAATTTATGAAATGCCTTTGAAGACCTGAGTCTTACAATTTTATGACACACTAACCAATCTCTTAAACAGCATTTATTGTACATAGGAAGGCAAACACAAACAAAATGTAGCATCAATGTGCCAGCACGACCTGCTCCAGGCTGAGACCTTAGAGCTTCAGCTAGCTGTGTTCTTTCAGGTGACAATAGCATTGTTGGCGGTGCTAACAACCATTACTGACAGGGCTTAAAACCTTTATGTAAGTCATCAAAACGCTTGCGGCACTATAAAGTCAGAGGCACACACTGGCGTTGACATTAATTCTTTAAGGGAAAAAAATATTAAAAAAAGAAAGAAAGAAAGAAAGAAAGAAAGAAAGAAAGAAAGAAAGAAAGAAAGAAAGAAAGAAAGAAAGAAAGGAGGTGGAAAACCCTTCCGAGGACGACCTTTAGCTGAGCTGTCCTACAGTCTGAAAGGCACAGGAGAAGCAACCTTGACCTTTTGCAGGGTGTAAAGCAAAGAGGGAGCAAGTGGTCAGTTCTGGCAGTAGCTTCCCCCTAAAGACACTTATTATACGTCAGTGTATTTTGGGGAAAACAGACCTAGTGTTTAGGGCATTTTGTGCTTCCCTGTCTTAGTAAACAGTATGCATTTGCTCCTTATGAAGTGTGAGCATTAGCACATTTGGCTTCCCTAAGTAGACTACAGATGTGAGATAGTATTTAAGTATTAGAAAGGGTCCTTCTTTGCATTCCAGATTTGGAAGCCCTAGGGTTTCCTTTGTAACTCTTTCTTTTCTGTCTGTCTGCATCCTTTCTGCTTTCTGCTGGTTGGTAGGGGGCATATCACAAGTGGAAAGCAAAAGTTGGTGTAACCCAATATCATTGGATGATTTAACTTTTTGAAAAGCAAAATTATTTTATACTACAAACAGCTTACAATGGTCTTTGGATGTTTGATCTGCAAAAAAAAGAGTGGGATATATGGCTACAACAATAATAATAAATAGTGGGTCTAGGCAACAGACCAATCATCTCATTAGGGTGTGATTGGCCATTCGGTGCCTCAGTAGAGCTGCTCTTGCTGTCTGACTGAAATTAGACTTAATCATCATCTGCTCAGCAAAGATGTTTGAGCTCCCAGTGTGAGACTTGTTTTAGAATCTAAAATCCCAGCATCAAACAATACAAAGTCCCTGCTTTCCAAGTGTTTGCACTCCAGAGCAGGGAGAGGACTCTAACGAGTAATAAAGCAGTGATTTGGAGAGTAATGCAAACTCAAGGAGCAACAGCATAGGCTGGGAATGATTAGCTTTCACAACCATCCTAGAAGAGAGTGTTTTGGAGTATTCCCATTTTCTAGACACAAAGAAACTGAAGGTGGAAAGATAAATTAGCCTACCCAAGGACACACATTGTAGAAAGGGAGCTTAGACTTGGCAAGTCAGACCCTATACCCTATGCCTTCACCGGGCTACACTATTCAGAGTGAAGTGAGGACATGTGAGAGCTAGAGACCACTTTAGATAGGTCACTGGAGGCTCCTCCAACTAGGTGGCATGTCACCTGTGAGTCATGGATTAGAAGGGACTAGCATGAATATGAAGGGGGCAGGAAGTCTGTTTCAAGAAACTTCTCTGTCCAGTGCTGTGTCCCCCCCACCCCCAGGACTGCTACTCACAACTCTCATCTCCCATTCCCCAGGAAGATGACTCTCCCAGCAGGTCCAGCCTTTCCCCTTCTCTGAAACAAATGTTCCTCGTTAATTAACCTTGTCTGAAAGTTAGGGGAAGACCCAATGAGAGCATATGACACACCACAGCTGAACGGCATCCCTGTGTATCTGTTCATTCTCAGTAAGTAAATCTAGCAGCTTATAAAACATTCCAATAAAACTGGTAATCATCCACCACCACACAATAAACAGAAATAAAAAGGAGTGGTGGTGATAATTTCTCTGTACTTCCAGTATCCCTTCTAATTTATTATCATCACGTACATGTTGGTTTTCCCATAAAGGTCCGCAAAGCTCTGTCTGGGTCATTCTATTTCTTCATTTTTTTTTTCTGTGACCTTGGACTATGGACCTTTCTAACTTTCCCTGAGACTTCATCTCTTGCTGTAGTCAGCTCAGCATTCACTGACTGCATGCACAGAACTGTGCCTAACACTTTAAACTTATTAGTCCACAGAAGAGCATTGTTTTAAAATCCGTGTGTAGTCTGCACTGTTGTTATGCCCAGTTTGCAGGCAGTGACACTGAGGCTTTCATGAGTGAACTACTTCCCCATGTTGGTGCAGCTCTTAAACAGCTGCTGGGGAATCAGAATGAAAGTCAGGCAATTAAGCTTCAGAACTTGCCCTTTCAACCCTTCTGCCTCACTCTTAATGAAGTCCAAAGAAGAGATCAGTTTGATGTGACGGACCTCAATATACAATCACTTACATTTTTAAAGGGAGAACTTCCTTCCTAAGACCTGCCTGCTGTAGCTTATAATGTCCTGCTGTTCTACTGCACTGTGGTGTGGTGAATGCAGTTCAGATTCTCATCCTGATCACATACAGGATCATATACATGTATATATACATACACATGACCACATACAGGATCATATATGTACATATATACGATCACATACAGGGTCATATACATGCACACATATATACACATGACGGCATACAGGTTCATATACATATTCATGTACATACACATGACGGCATACAGGATCATATATATGTACATATACATACACATGATGGCATACAGGATCATATACACATACATACACATGACCACATATAGGATCATATGCATGATCACATACAGAATCATGTACATATACATACACACATACATGATCACATATGTACATATCATTAAGCTGGAACTCTGAGTCTGAAGCATTTGAGCAGTGGCACAATACCACAGTGGAAAATTCCACACCTGACTTCATGTGCCAGGTCATAGTTAAAGCAGCGATGGTATTAAAAATAGTCCATGAAACTGCCTTTAAGGCTTTGTGCATACAGTATATGTGAAAAATAAATGAGTTTTCTGTTTAAAATTTGGTCCCATGCCCAAAATATCTTATCATGTACGCAAATATTTTAAAATCTGAAAAATTCTGGAATCTAAAACACTTTTGGCCCCAAGTATTTCAGATAAGGGCCTGGACCCTTATCTGGACCTCATAACCTGGACTTCATAATCAAGAATTCCAACCAAGAAGTGTCCATTATGTCCTGATTTAGGAATGGAATGTAACATCAATTGTGGGGGCTTCACTTGCCACACCCTAGACCTCAGGGAATTGCTCTAATGAAGTTTTGTTCTTTCTGTCCTCGTCTGCTTTGAAATCCACAGTAGCATGTTATCTGGTCCAGCCACTTTTTATGCCTTAGGGGCCTCCCTGTTGTTTAGGTCTCATTGTTGGCCACATATCTTAGCATAACACAGCTCTCATTTAAATTGCCTTGCATCAATATTCTGCCTTCTTGATTAGGTCTATGTCTGGGGGAACTTACTAGGTAGAGCACATGGGGCAAAAGGAGATATGTAATCAGGGAAATTATGGGAAGGAACACTAATTGGGTCGCCTCCTTAGCTCCTGTCTTTGGAGGATAGCTTCCTTTGGCGTGGGACTTCCAGCTTTCTAATCGACTCTTGCATGCCTACCAGCACCTCTGCCATTTCTGGAATATTTATCCCCACACATTTTAATGTCCTAACTCTAATAGAAGAGAATGGCAGCCTATTTTCTGGGAAACAGACAGAGAGAGAGCCCCTGTCCTGTTTCATGCAATGCTAACAGTGTCTTTGAGTTCTTCACAGGGGTGAAATCTGCAGGTGACTGAATTCCTGCCATGGCATGTACTCAGAAATCATGAAGGGATGCTCG